AAGTCATACTTAACTGACCGCTACCAGTTTGTGAATCTTAATGGACAGCCTTCACAAATCTGCCCAGTAAAGTATGGGGTGCCTCAAGGATCAGTTTTAGGCCCTTTACTGTTTACAATTTACATGCTACCACTGGGAGACATTATTAGAAGACATGGGATCAGCTTTCACTGCTATGCAGATGATACTCAATTATATATTTCCACTAAACCTGATGAGACGTCTGAACTTTCTAAACTAACTGAGTGTATCAAAGACATCAAAGACTGGATGACCAACAATTTTCTTCTCTTAAACTCAGACAAAACAGAATTATTACTTATTGGGCCTAAATCTTGCACACAGCAGATCTCGCAACTCAATTTACAATTAGAGGGATACAAAGTTAGCTTTAGCTCTACTATAAAAGATTTGGGTGTCATATTAGACAGCAATCTAACTTTTAAAAACCATACATCCCATGTCACAAAAACTGCCTTCTTTCATCTGAGAAATATCGCTAAATTACGAAATATGCTATCCATCTCAGATGCAGAAAAGCTAGTCCATGCTTTTATGACTTCGAGACTGGATTACTGTAATGCTCTATTTGCTGGCTGCCCAGCATCCTCTATTAACAAACTTCAATTAGTACAAAATGCAGCAGCCAGAGTTCTGACCAGGTCTAGAAAATATGATCATATAACCCCAATTTTATCCTCCTTACACTGGCTGCCTGTTAAATTTCGTATTGAATTTAAAATATTACTTCTCACCTATAAAGCTCTAAATAATCTAGCTCCTGTTTATCTAACCAACCTTCTGTCTCGCTACGAACCAACTCGTTCCTTAAGATCTCAAAATTCAGGGCTTCTGGTAGTACCTAGAATAGCAAAATCAAGTAAAGGAGGTCGAGCCTTCTCTTTCATGGCTCCTACACTCTGGAATAGCCTTCCTGGTAATGTCCGAGGCTCAGACACACTCTCCCAGTTCAAAACTAGATTAAAGACCTATCTGTTTAGTAAAGCATACACTCAATGCATCACCTAGCGGGTTCCACACAGGCTTCTGCATCTTGCTTATATACACTATGAACAGCAGCTACGCTAATTATTCTCTTTATTCTCTATTTTCACCTGGGGATACTCATCCCGAGGTCCTCAGATTAGGCGGAGTCACTGATTGGATCCAAGACCAGCGACGTGATGATCCCAAGGATTCCATATCCGGGACCAGGCCATATCCTGAGCTGCTGCTGCGCTGATGGTCGTGGGGAGTGGAGAACATGTGTCTGATTCCAGCGACGCTCCAGAGACAGACGAGTCTTCATTGAGGCCATCTTCCAGCATAAACCACGGCGAATGAAGTTCTGCACAAGACTTTTGGCCAGCGGAGAAATTAAAATGGTCGTGCCCAACTGAGTCTGGTTCTCTCAAGGTTTTTTTTCTTCACTCCCATCAGGTGAAGTTTTTTTTCCCTCTCCGCTGTCGCCACTGCCTCGCATGGTTCAGGATTGGTAGAGCTGCGCATCGATGAATTTGCTCTTCAGTGTTTGAACTCTCAGTAATGATTAAATCACACTGAACTGAGCTAAACTGAACTAAACTGAACTTAAACACTAAAACCTGAACCACACTGTTCCAGTTACTATGACCATTTATGTGAAGCTGCTTTGACACAATCTTAATTGTAAAAGCGCTATACAAATAAAGCTGAATTGAATTGAATTGAATTTGCATTTGTACAATGTTATTGTTATTAGCGGTTTTATTTATTATACTCATATTTATATTTGTTTTATTAAAAACAAACTTAGATTTGTCCACCTGTCGGGATTTTGGACCATATGAGGCATGGGATGTGTGTTTGGATCTTAAGCAAATCTTTGTGCTTAACAAATGAAATTAAATAAAGAGGCTAATGGATGTCTTCAGTGGAGTGCGTACAACACCATTTCCTTGTCCACAAAATTAAAAGTAAAGAGAAAGAGAAATAAGAGGCAGAATAGAGGCTCATTCCTTAGCCTTGCGCTGCAGATGGCCTGTTAAACTTCTTTCTCTCTAATGAAGCATTCAGTTTGTCCATTCAGTTTATCCACTAACAAAGTCTGCCATGTAAATAGCGAATGCATCACGGCATGACACAACTGACTCTTAAAGGGAATAGGAGATAAACTCTGATTGATTTAATGCATGTTTTGCTCAAAACACACCCATATCTCATTAAGAGAATAAGCACTACCCTGTTGGACCATGCACCATAATGCAAACCGTATTTTTCCATCCTTAAAATAGCAAAAGTGGATTCAGACATGCCCTTAAGGCTTTTCCGCAAGGCGCTTTAGACTTTGCGCCAAAATCTTTAAAATAGAGCCTCAAAAGTCCTATTTCTATATAGGTGGAGGGCAGCAGGTTTAATTTCTGCACTTATTGCTGCAAAGCTGCTCCAAAAGCTGTGGGTTTTTATTAGAATCTGGACTGGTAAGAGAATTGTTGTTTCATTTTAAACGTGTTTGCTTTTAACAATATAGTTTAAATCCCATCTTCAAAGTCCTGTGAACATAATCAAAAATTGATCAATAATATTTTTATTGCAGAAAATACCATGAGAGTGTAAAACCTTTTTGCTACATTTAGTTTTTTTTTATAAGATATATTTTCTGTTTGCACTGTTTGTTTGGATAGAAATCCAGCTACTGTCAAGTTTTACTAAGTCATCTAATCATAGTTGAGTAAGGGTGGGTCAGATGTCACCAAAGTCACTTTCTTCAATAAACGACACACATAATGAACGAAGCACATTATGATGGCTGCCAAGTATCCATATCTGTAGCAGATGGTATCTCTGGACCATAATACAATTATTGTGAGAAATAATGTTCAAATAAACATTTGATTCTCCACATGTCTCTAAAGGCTGCACCTCTGAAATACTCTCAAATGCTCAAATCTGGGCATTTTAAGAAGAGCGGCTGGCAAATTTAGCTGGCAGGAAAAGCTTTGGTGGGTGCACAGACTTACTGTTGCATTTGTGGTCAAAATAGGACATTTTAATTAACAGTTCATACTTCCAGGAATTATGTGCACAGATAACATGTTTAACTTGGTCACAGAAATTCATTATATCAGTTAACCTACACCTTATTGGTTTGAAGGTATCTTCTGTTATACTAGAGAGATGATACAATATTGACAGAAGACCTGCATTCATTTGCCCACAAATTTTGCAGAAAGTTTGCAGAAATTTGACAGCACTTTGTGGCTTTTTACACCTGAAAAAAATGTCATTAAAAGCCATTTCTATGTTTTCACTTTTACCATATTGCATGATATAATATACATTTTCATGTTTGCAGCACACATCTCCATACAGTATGTATTGCTTTTCCAACAATTGCTTGGTAACTCATCTGGTACAGATTTATGCATTTGAGTGTTCAGAAATCAGTCCTGTGAAATAGCATGGCAAAAAAAAGATCAAATCAGTGTAAAAGCATGGTAAATGGCTTGATTGCTTCAGTGAATGTATTTTGTATTACACTTTTTTAACACATACTGATTAGAGACACAATAACAAACTGACCTTATAGCACAAATCTGCCACACTGATAACCTTAACAATATTTCAACAAAGGCATGTTTATCCAACACTATCTCACAGCAACTTGCTGAAAAGGTTAACTTTTTGATTTAGTGATTAATTTATATGAAATTGTACAATCTCATTTGCACAATCCTCCTGTGGTGGTTGGGATTAGGGGTGCCACGACTCCTTTTAAAAATTGTACAGCCACCAAACTTACAAAACGTAAAAGAGTTACAATTCCTCATGAGGCCAGGCTGGTTTATCTGATTCTGAAAAAGCATAATATGCTTTTTTTTAGTGCCACTCAAGGGACATTTCACTTTGAAATTGGTGCAAGACATGCAAGTTAATATTTTTTGCTTAAATATCAACTCAGAAAGAAATCTAGGACAGCCACACAAATAAATGCACTGATACACTGCCTCCTATGAGTGAAAACAGAGGATCACAGTTTACTAGAAACCATTCTGTACAATACTTTTTAATTAATCATACATCTTTTCCATTTTACTTTTCCAGTGAAAATCATGCTTTTATTAGCAGCAGGGTGGATTACTGTAATGGACTCCTCACAGGCCTTCCCAAAAAGACAGTTGCAGCTCTTTCAGAATGCTGTGGCCAGGATTCTGACCAGAACCAGAAAATCTGAGCACATCACACCTGTCCTTAGGCTCCCAGTTACATTCAGAATGAATTTTAAACATTATTACTTGTCTGTAAACCACTAAATGGCCTAGGACATCAATACCTTACAGATATGCTCACTGAATACACATCTAACGGATCCCTCAGATCATTAGGATCAAGTAAATTAAAAATTCCGGGAGTTTAGTCAAAGCAGGGTGAATCTGCCTTCAGCTACTACACCCCCCACTGCTGGTATCAGCTTCCAGAAATAATTTAGATGTGCTCCATCATTAGGCACATTCAAATCAAGACTGAAAACACATCTGTTTAGCTGTGCTCTTACTGAATGAGCAATGTGCTGCATCCGACAGATGGCACTACTACTGTATGTCTTCTTTTCTTTTACATTATTTTATAACATATTTTAACACATTTTAATCAGTTTTAATCACTTTTATTATTTGTTTTTATTTTATTATACTTTTATTCCCGTTTAAGTAAAGCACATGTGCTATTTAAATAAACTTGCCTTGCCTTCTATGAGCCCTTCACTTCAAAATAAAATAAAAATTTCTTAATCCTTTCCTACTCTAGCTTTTATTTTACTAACAAAATCAGAAGGTTTCTAGTACTACCGTCTCATGAGAGTACTGTCTCTGCAATGTATTACTTTATTCCTTCCTCAATGGTAGTCACTTTGGATAAAAGCATCTTCTGAATGACTAAAGGTAAATCATGTTTCTTTTTCTTCATATGCACAATACCAGCTCCAGACAACTGTCTGGTTTTGGGTATATGAGTGGACTCACGCAGTAGTAGCAGCTCCAGCCGGTGGTGGTGTGGGCTGTTTCTCTCATCTCCTGCAGGGCTTCAGTGCTCAGGTAGCCCATCTCCCGCAGACAGCCGTCATGAAAGACCCGCGTACACGTCCGGCAGGGGAACAGATCGTCAGCCGTCCAAACTTCACACACCTCACACATCTCATCGTTCACAGGCTGATCGTAAAACAGCGGGACACAAAACAGATAAATCAGTCGCTACTTAGCAACGAGACTGTTATTAAGAGCATTTACATGCACAGCAATACATAAATAACATACTCGATTTATTTCCTAGTACTTACATCCAAACATACTAATATCTCCATGTATTTGATTTTTTATGTCAGATGTCATGTTCAATGAATAAAATGTAATTCATAGAAGAATATTTATCCATGTCAGCATTAAATAAAGAGCTCATATTTGACCCTCTCAAGATGCAACATTTTCACTTCTGCTTCTGTCTTCGGGTCAAGAAACAGTTAGGCTCTGTTTGAATGCACTTAAATACGTTTTGCATCCTATTTTAGTCAAATTATCAAAGTTTATTATTGACGTGCACAATTTCACACTATTATAATAATAACAATAATAATTCCTTACATTTATATAGCCCTTTGCTGGACAATCACAGCACTTTACACATTGGGGCTAATCTCCTCATCCACCACCAGTGTGCAGCATCCACCTGGATGATGCAATGGCAGCCATATTTCACCAGATCACACACCAGCTGATTGGTGGAGAGCCACACAGACCACAGGTTGAGCGCCACCTGCTGGCATCACTAACACCACTTCCAGCAGCAACCTAATTTTCCCATGTTGTCTCCCATCCAGGTACTGACCAGACACAGCCCTGCTTAGCTTCAGTGGGTGATCATGTGAGAGTTGTAAAGAGCTAGCTGCCAACTGTTATGATTGTGTATGAATTTTTGGCACATTTTAAAAAGTATGACTGTTTCCATATAGCCCTATGTCTTGATAAATAATTAACTGCAATTTAAGCTTTCGTAAATGTAAAAATTTACACCTAGATTTGTTTGAGGTTCCATAACCAGTGTATGAATTATAGTGTGTGGATAGGAGGGCAGTGTCAAATATTTTGGTAATATTATCATCCCATCAGACAAAATGTCATAAGACATTAATATTAGGTTAGATTTGGGTCACCAGTGTCTAGAGACAATGTTATTTAGACATCCAATAACAACGTGAAAAACCAAAATCCAATGTCAAGGTAATTTCTTAAACCAACGTCATATTGGCAACACATACTGACATTTATTTGTCAGGCATAGCAAACAAAATCCAATGTCTGATAGACGATATATTGCTAATGTCCACACAACGTCAAGCTGCGACATCATTAGACGTTGGTATTTTGTTGTTTTTAGTTTGCATTGGAAAGTAACCAAAATGCAACTGTTGGACATTGACTTTTGCCTGACGTTGGGTTCTGATATCAACGTACAATGTCAATCTGATATTATGTTGACCTCCTGTGCCTGCTGGGATGCTTATAAGACAAATTCTTATATTTAATTCAATAACATCTCATTTATTATTTAAACTTATTTAAGTTTTCAATGTTTTGAGAAACAATGAGTGTATTTTACAGCAACCTCTGGTCCGCTATTTCAGCAGATAATCCAAAAATATGTGGTCAAAGGCAGATGAATGGTCAGGACAGGCAGCAAAAACAATGGAAACAACAAAACAAGGCAAAGGGTCAAAAACACAGCTAGACAAGAAGACGTTGTGGTGTTCCAATATCAAGAAGTTAGTGTGAAAGTATGGTGTTTATATAGTTCAGGTAACCAATGAAGATAAGTTTCAGCTGTGTGTGTGTGTGTGTGTGTGTGTGTGTGTGTGTGTGTGTGTGTGTGTGTGTGTGTGTGTGTGTGTGTGTGTGTGTGTGTGTGTGTGTGTATGTGTGTCCGCACCAGTGTACAGATGACTGTCAGTTGTGGCAGGATTGATTGAAGCAATGACCTCTGGGATTTGTATGTCGATTCAGTGGCAGAATTGTAGTTGTTGGGCAATCTGCAATGGCGTATATGCACACGGATTTTTAAATTCAGTCGGTTAGCCCCAGAGCTTCCTCATAATTGTCATCCCATACAAAGTCATCGTGTTTAAGATCTGATTACAGTGATCTTGTGAGATGGCTGAGGTACAGTGAGATGGCTGAGATACAATATAAAGTGGGTATCAGACCAAACAAGAAGCACTGCATTAAATTATATTTTTCTGTGCCATAATGGAATATGGAAATATGGAAATAAATTTTACCCCAGTATTTTCAATGGAATTTCTGCGCTAGCCTGCTGCTAATGTCAGCACCTGCTTTTCGTCTGCTTTTGACTTTAACAACTAAATGAATGCTTAAGTCTGTTTAACTGGTTTTATTTGAATTTCATTACAACATCAATGCTGTAAAAGGAACCTTCTAAAATTGAAAATAGTCACATAAAGCTTTCACTTGAAATTCATCATTGGCTGAAAAACACTAACTGTGCATATAGCCCACTGCTAGATCGCTGGTGATCATAACACAAAGATTAAAAACTTTTATATAAAACAAACAGTGACAAGTTTGCATTCTTGCACCAATAAATAAATAAAAGACTGCACTTTTTTACTGTTTAACTTTCAGAACATGTGTGTCTATAAAATACAAATGTGTCTAATTTTACTTCACTTTTTGGCAATACAGAATGGAATAACAATCAGCTCTTTTGAACACTATGGTGTCTATTTCTTCTCTAGATGTGCTCTTTTGCAGAGTGAATATTTACATCTGGGGGATGCTGGGTGCAAGATGCTGGGTGCGATCATGCATTCAAAATGGTATCAACCGTTATAGGGGTGCTCAAATGTATATTTTTATTATCTTTTATTTTAATTATTAATATTAATATTTAAGATACAGAGCAGAGCAAAGTACTCTCGTTTTTTAAAGTGCTGACCCACACACATTTTGTTTCGACATCTTTCAAAAGGATTAAGTGTTATTTAGGGGGGTTCAAACCTCCCTGTATTTCGCACCCTGCCCATAAGGAAGACAAACTGTCGATATGTGAAATTTTGATGCCAGAGATGCCAGATGGTGTCGCGTGGGGACATAATGGTGCATGCCATTAATCCATCTATATCTGATAACATGTAAAAAGCAAAGTTTGAGAAAAGGTAAACACTTTAATAACAATATATTCTTATTAAGAAGGTAAATAATTTGATTACAGATGTCCATGTAAGTTTACCATTGTCAGCTTTTTAAGCATAATCATATTAAGATTGCACATGTAAACACACTAACTGAAAAGGTCATTGAAAGTGCATAATAACACATGACAGCAAGTATAGTGACTCATCAATAAAGAAACACTTTCATAATCAAACTACTATACCTCCTGCCATTAGTTTCTTTCCATTAAAGGTCAGCAGATATAGAAGTAATCTCACTTGACATTCCCTGCTCATTTAAAGTCTCCTGTGGTGCACAGGCTGCAGCAGCTGAAACTGCATGTGGTTTACTTTCATGTCATGATATGTGGACATCATGCTGGTTTGATGAATGCAGTGCAACGTTTTACTGATCCCGGGAGGGAAATTTGTTTAAAGTTTTTGAAATGCTAAACTGTGACAGAATGGAAATATTTTGCTTTTGTAAAATGTTTGCTGTTTTATATGTTGTGCAGCCTGTTGGGAAATTTCATCTTGCTATAAATATGAGATTCTATTCTTTTCTCTTTATGAATAATAGCTCTTCTACAAAAAGTCATTCTGTAAAATAGTAAAATATTTTTATATGTATGTGAAAAGTGTCCCCAATAGCGCAGAAACAACATTCACATCCACTAAGTGCTGCTTTTAGTTAGACTGCGAAACAAGTAAAAGCACAACTTAATTCCAATTGTTGCAACAAGTTTTCTATTTAAAGAGCCGATATTATGGGTTTCTGAAAATGACCTTCCACGTAGTGTGTAACACAGCTCTAAGTGAAATATCCAGATAAGGCTTAAATCTGTAAGTGTACAGTGTTTAAAACTGTTGATGAATCTATAAAAGAGTCGAATCATAGTGCTTTAAACGGGTCATCTTAATAACAGTGTTTTGTGATGACGCGGCTACAAAACACACGCACCACCCAGTAGTTGTGTGTGCAAACCTGGCAGATTTAAAACCTGTGGCCCCGCCCATTAACACAGAAAAATAGGCACACACACACGGACTCTACCCAAATAAGAAACTGTGTGAAGAGTGAGTGGTTGAGGTTTATTTTTGCAAAAGCCTTATAGCCCAGCCTTGCACAGTGCTCCTGGAAACTCCATGCTTAAAAAGAAGACTTCTTAGGCTGTTTGTTAAAGGAAGGATCAGAAAAGGCTACTGTCAGAACATGGATCAGTGCATCATGGATCAGTTTCTTCCTCCATTTCACAAGTGTAAGTATGGGCGATTAAAACTGTTGCCTCGTTTACTCTAGCTTGCAAATTATGTATTTAGTCGTGTTTTGTCACTTGTAACCGCGTGTACTGTATCAGGTTAACACTTTATATTCTCATATCGCGTTTAAAGGCACATTGAAAATGCAACACGTGCCGCTTTCTTTACAGATTTAATGCTAAATGTGTTTGTGAGCTGGCGTTCCACTGCCGTTTGTCGTTGCTAAGGCCATCGAAAGCTAGTAATATAATAACTGAGGACGCGGGTGGTAAGGGAGGTGTTGCAGACGTTGCCACCCTTTTCTTCCCACCTAGGTCGTCTATATGGACGCGCTGGCCCTGAGTGTGTATACACTGTGGCTACTTCTATATTGTTGATTAGCTCCTGGGCATTTCACTCTGTTTTGCGCTGAAGGCTGTCATTGTCGACCAATCTCAGCAGGCTGTTATCGGTCCAATCAGCGCAGATTAGCTTCACGGTAAGGAGGGGTTTGGGAACAAATGAATTGCTGAATGATTCATATGGGAATCGCTGGGATAATTAGGTAAAAATAAATGCAGATTATAAGACCATAAAAGTGTTTTCTGACCTTGCATGCATATTAGGCTGTTGTTGGAGACCTTTACAACCAAAATATGACCCTATTTCATGTATAATAGGGGCTTTTTAAACTCAAGTTTTATATATAATTCAGAAATTTAAGTGAGCAATTGCTTCAACTATCCT